CTGTATTATAATAAACATGAAATACTATTACTTAACTATGTATTGTTCTATGGTATATAACATTGTATGCAATTTTTCTTATGGCAAAATTAGTTCAACTTATCATTGTGTAAATCTACTAGGCGTATAAGGGTGATAAAAAAAGAAATCACTAATGATAAAATGAACAAAAAACGAATTGTTAAATATCTTTAAAATATAAACAAACAAACCRTCACAACTCAAAATTTGTATCCGTATCTAAATAATTATTTATCATTGAATTCAAATCTAACTCATTTATTATAGTGACCTACTCGGTGATGAAGTATTCATGTACCTATCTACAATCAACACTTAGTTTAACGATTTTTTCGATTTCTTAAAAATTTGGTGTGCTTACTTATCAAAAAAGAGCACGATACTAAAATAGGAACCATACAATGTGCATCAATAAATACACCAACTATGATGTTTCCAATAACTGCACCTACTTTGCCAAACATGGAACCAATAGATACGGCAACGCCCCTAAAAATAACAAAATAATATAAATTTTAAATATTTCTAACTTTTTAAACTTACCTATATTCTGTCGGAAATAGTTCAACGCTTATACAAAATACTAGACCAATACCCAAGCTGGAAAGTGCTTCAAATATRGACGATAGCACGATATTCTCGAATGAAGACGTAATGAAATACAAACAAGCAGCGGAGAGACCTGACCCGAAAAAACTTAACACTAAATAAAAATAATATTAAATTAGATTAAAATAACTAAAATAAAAATGTATGAATTTTTATCGATATTCATAGCGTTATAACTTATAACATTAAGTAAAATATATTCAAACCTAAAAAAAATTTAATTCCAAATCTGTTGACTAATAACGGCACAATAATACTTGTAGGTATACAAGCAATGCCAATGATGAGAATGTTCTCGTATACAGATTGATCGATTTCATCATTGCATTTGAGATCTATCTCTTCGGGTTCAATTTTAAACAGAGATACGATTTCACACATATTTGTCATATTTTTGGGACCTGAATATAATGTTTCATACCATCGAAATCTATTCATCAGCTCTGGGAACCACAAAACCATCATGTAAAAGCTGCACATTTAAAAATACAGAACCAACGGGTTCATGTAAAATTACATCGTAGATTATTATTGGTTAACATATTATTTTTTTTTTATTATTATTCCCTTAATCTATTGTTACCTGGCAGTGCAACAAAATTGTATCGCACATGTAATCATAGCTCTAACTTTGAATTTAGATGTAAACAGCTCCAGGATGCTCTTGTAAAGTCCACTAAAGAAGCTATTTTTCTGTTCATTTATACAATCGGGTAACATTAATGAAGACACCTAAAACAATCAGATACAAATAAAGTAAGTGTTATTTTWACATTTGTTAAAAGTGGTCCTACGGGAGCACTATCCACTGATAATTGCAACTTAAACTTGCCGGAAATTCACCATCAGTCTTATTATTCCATCTATAGACGAATTTCAAGCAATCGATAGTCTCGTCGTGTTTACCCTTGTTGAGTAAGAACTTTGGACTTTCCGGCAATTTAACCAATAAAARTGAAAATATTATACTCGGGAGTGAACAAATAATCGCAAATAAATTCCATGATCTGAACAAAAAGAAACCGTATTCGATTCTAAATGTTTGTGGTATAACTAACCATGCCACGCCTAAAAAATACTACAWTGTTATTATAATTGAATAGGTATTTTACTATATTTATAATTTATTGATATAGCTATTAGGTATCTATTTGATTATTTATTACATTGTATCAATTTAACTTAACTTAAAAAATACGCTCAAATATACACAATCTCATATAAGTATAATGTATATACTATATATTATAATAATAGGTTTTAAATGCATAGGCATYGTTACGGGGTAGTGAGGGGTAGCAATCGCTACACTACCATTTTTATAGGAGTAGCAAATTAATAGTTATGATACTCTACGAACCAGTACGAAGTACGAGAAATTTATAAAAATAATACAATTTTCTTGTTTTTTTTCTTCGGAAAATCACTACAAGTATAATATTTTTATATTACTTGTATTTAAAAAATTATATTTCTACGACAGAAAAAAATGTTAATAATTAATTTATTGATTAATTAGTTTAATATTGTCTTAATTAATTTAATGTTGAAAAGTTTTTTTTTAGATTTCACAAGATCAATTGGGGGAGAACTAAAGCTYAGTAGCTATCTCACCTCAGGATTTCTACTGTTGCTACCCCATGACTTTACTCCAAATGACGTCCCTGGTTTTAAGTATATTGAATGCCTAGCTATAATAATTACTATTAATAAAGATAATATTTAAATATTGTAATTCTCACATGGAAGTAATATTACACCAAATGTCCAGAACATTTCCATCCAACAAAGAAATTTTTCACGATTTTTGTCGTTTACGAACTCTCCGAGGTATGAATAGAACACTGTAACACCAGATACCCTAAAAACGATTGATGAATATATTAATATTTATTGTGTATTCATCTGTTARTTATACCGTTATATCACGTAGGTAATAATTATTATATACACTGCTTAGAGCAGTGACATACAGCCAAGAAGGTGTATCGGATATTGTTAACAACCCCCTTACTCATATTAATTATACAAACAATATACATTTTTACAAAATATGTTGTCATTTATAATTATATTTATAGTATTTGGTATTATGAATAATATGATGATACATGGCTATAATGGAGAGTAGGATTTACATCCCACAAGTTGTCTTCCTGTGCGTCCAAATTGTATGCCAAAAAAAATAAAACATAAATTGGAATGTCCGAATTGCATGCCATCTCTTGAAAGGGTCTGTCCAAATTTCATGCCACCTCRTCGAGGGACGAGGGGTTTATCTGAATTGCATGCCATCAGATTATCAGGTTGATAGATTATTATTTATTATTTATTATTTATTATTTTTTGAACTTTTCTAATTTAACTTACTTTTCCACTGAAAGAACGGGCTTTTGCTACATTTAGTTTAGTATAATAAACTGAAT